ACATTTCATTGACTACTAGTTTAATCCATTAATTGAAAAGAAATCAATATTTCAATCAGCAATATAAATGTTTGTAGAGACAGTAAAAACAGGAACTGAGGAACTCTCACACTCACACAGGTACTATCATTTTGCCAATTCAGGATGCTAAGTGCCGGATTTCATGAGCCTCAGCAGTGGTTCACCAAGGAAATTTTAAGGAATGGTTCAGCCATCAAATGCGGATGTGACAGTTGGTAAAAATACATGATTCATCTGCAGCTGAATGTGGCTGTTAGTTGCCATCACTCATTCATGTTGTAGATGGATGGAACAAAGCAAAGGGTGGGGGACGGGGAGACGGGACGAGAGGATAATCCTTCAGGATCAGCTGTGTGTGGGTGGACATGAGTAAGTGCAGCTGGCACACCCTCTCTCTCTCTCTCTCTCTCTCTCTCTCTCTCTCTCTCTCTCTCTCTCTCTCTCTCTCTCTCTGTCTCTCTACGGTCTGTTTACCTTTCCCTTTTTCGTGTTTGACCCTAAGTAACACACTGACTACTGGCCTGAACATGGTGTGGTCTTGGCCGCAAATTGAGTGTATATACAGTATGTATCGTGTAACTTGCCTTATCTCTGCATGAAAACATTGACTTCAGAAAATGGAATAGTTCTATTTAATATAGTCATATATTAAAGTTAATAATTCGGCCATTGTAATAAAAAATCATGTTAAAGCATGATTTGGACATTCTGTTTCCTGCTAACCAGGCTGCGATAGGGCGAGGAATATTAGGTTTTCTGTCAGGATTCTCCGTTACCTGACTGTATTGTACGGTGTACGGTGGTTGCTGTAGCTGTGAGGTGATACTAATGTATCTACTGTGTGTTTGCACAAAATGTGATGTTGGAGGACTTTAAAGTCACTCAAGATGATGGACATCTCAGACAAGTCGACCATCAGTCTGTAACTGCTCGTGTCATGGTGGGCAGCCTGAGATGTGCTGAACAAGCGAGAGATTCTTAGGAGTCACAGACGTATCCAGAAAAGGAGAGCAGAACATGTCCACTGACTGTGTGGAATATTTATGTTTGAGACTTGCATACACTTTATGTAGGTGTGATATTTACTGTCCTTTAGCACTAAATCATCATTATGTATTTTTAGAGTTTGCGCTGTCATTGATTTATTACAATGATTTAGTGATTAATTCCTCATTGCCGAGATTTTCTGCATTTCAAAAGAAAAGGTCGCCCCCTTTCTGTTTTAGATGCAGACCAGTGGAAGCTGTGTCTAAGACCTGTTTACATTGATTAACTCCTTGGTACACAATAAAATATTCAAATTGTGTGTTTTTTAAAGTTGTCTACAGCGGCTGAAATGTTATCACAACACCTCTTTTGCTTCAGACCGGGGCTCACTTCTTACTTACAGGAGTGGACAGCTGAAAGACAGACAAAGGAAGCATTGCTCTTTGTTCTGGAAAAGGTGCAAAGCCTCTGCAGACTGACAGGCACGGAAATGGCAGATTGGGAGCAAGATCTGAGGAGCCTGAATGAGTCTCTGTTGCCTTCGTCCAGAGGCCAGTGTCAAACAGACTGAAATGGCAAACAGCAGCATTGATCACTGTGGCGCCTCATGGTGTGATACTGTCAGCTCTCACTGAGATATATGCCCCCCTTACTGATGATTTATTTCTGCTGGGTCAAACTTGTTTCATTCATTTCACATCTGACACTTTCTCAACACACTGAAAAAATAGGACACACATTCGTAGGACTGCTGTGCTTCTTCTCTTTCTCTCCTTCCTGGGAGAATGAAACTCTCCTGTTTCCATGGAATACAGAGACAGGTGTTCTTTCAACTAGATGCAGTCAAAAAAAAAAAAAAAAAAAAAAAAAAAAAAAAAGGAACGGACTAGCCTGGATAATGTTCTCAATGCAAATCCACTTAAAGGGATTCTAACTCTGAAAGAGATTTACAGTACAGCACAAATTGAGAATGAGCAGGAAAGCACTTCGAAACAGGTCCTTGGAAAAGTGGCAGTTCTCCAGTGCGCACTCCAGCGGAGTGTGCTCCGTATGCCGCAGTTTGAGTGCACATAATGAATGAATGAATGAATGTAAGCATGTGACAGGGACCCTGCACTGTATAATGTAAGTGCTGCAGTGGCATTCTAATTAATCTTTACTATACCACTTACCTTCAAGTGATACCCAAATATTATAGTAGTTGCAGTAACATGCGTACCATAGCACAGTACAGAGAAGAATAGAACAGGATGGTAACTGGTTCTGCTTGTTCAACAGATCACATCAAAAAACTTCACATTTTACTTAACATCCACATATATTTACTTATGGTGGAGTTCGCTCCGGGTGCCATTTGTTTAGTTCAATGCCATATTTTATTGAATTGTAAATGTCCCGCAGTGACGGACAGAGTGCCAAATGAAATGGAGTCAGCTTATGAATGTTACATTACCATTTTAGTGCTGAATTGAATTGTCGACCGAAACGCTGAACAGGAGAATTCTAGAAGTGGCACCATGTATTATTTCCTTCCAGTCAAAGTCCCCAGATTGGTTCTGCTAAATCCACTGAATCATCCCTTGATGTGTTAACAGGGCTCTTCATTTTTCTCTACCGGTGAAGCACTTTCTCTCAGCTGTGTGGAACATTTGACCTGTCATAGCTCTGTTGCATCCTCTTACATCTCTGGCTGTTCTGAATGTAGCTAAAGGTTACTCTTTATACTAAATATTACCTTATTTGAGTATCCAAATTATGTAATGGATGCTGGCCCAGTGAGTGGCAATGAGCATCTGATAAAAAGATGGGTGCTGCATTTACTTGAAGGGGGGAAGGAAGCTACCCATGCAAATACCAGGCCTGTGCTCAGGAATGGCAAATGCAAACGAAGCACAATATATGGGTTGTTTTATTAGTGCTGTCTTACAAGTCCACACAACAGTGTGAGAATACTGTGTACATGTATTATGTTGGGTTAGAACAAACAGTAATAGATAATGTTTTTCTGTATATTTGTGGTGATGGCTACAGGTCTGAGCTGGTTGCTCTATGTGTGTGAATTTCACTAATCATTAATACTCTATCTATTATATTTTGACCTCATATATTGAATTTTAGAAAAATACTATGTGTCATCAGGTACCAATATCTAAAATCCAAATTAAAACTCCGAACCCTTTACTTAAATCACCTTGGATCGAAGCACTTGATGAGTTTCAATATAGTCTGGGGTTTTTAGTGATGTAAAGTTATCAAAACTTATTCGATGGGATTCATTTCACGTGGTTAGGGGATAATGAAACCATGTAGCTTGACTGTGATTTTGCAGAGGTGTGCAAGAAGAGGTTCCAGCCTGTTTTACATCTTGTAAAATGCTCACGTAAGCACCGTTGAAACAGAATTGAGAGCTGGGTGATGAAATATTCCGCTTCCTTGTCTTTGGGAGAAGCTCTCTTGATTAGACACTCAATTTGTGTTGACAAAATCAACACAAAATTTCTTAATAACATATGAGATCAATGCCATCAACGTAAAAAAAAAAGAAAAAAAAGTGCATACTATTGTTGTATGATATGGTAAAATTAAAATAAGATGGAGTCCAGGTCTTGTTGTATGTAGGAAAATAGTGTAACATAGCAGAAGCCAACAAAGAGTGTAGCTACAGTATTATCTTTACAGAGATGTGATTTAGCCTCTAGCAACCTGTAGCTCCTTTACTACCCTTACATCTTACTGACACTAATGTGCAGTATTAGCCTGGAGCAATGAACTGCGATAATAGGAAGCTAATGAGGAATGAAAAGCTTTCATGGCTTTGATGAGTGTTTACACCCATTGACTGGAGAGCCAAAAGAACAACAATACATGATACTCATTTTTCTATTATTAGTACAATGCACACAGTCTCATACGGTTTCTGACACTTATGGAGTAATGACAATCAAGAAGCAGTGTCTTTTTCATTGTTTATGGTAATAACTGAGAATTTAATTGTGTTGATTCCACAAGACTCGGTCTTCAAGTGTGCAATAATTCCTAGATGAATCGTGTGTACTGAAATGAGCATGGCTTTGAAAATTAATCATGTAATTTGCAAGAGGGAAATGCACTGTATTTATTTATTTGATGCTCTTGAATTGAATGTTAAGCCCACTGAGTACGAACAACTCAATTGTCACACACTGATGTGGTCAAGGAAGATGGGAAAAAAAACTCCCAAAACCAAGATTCAATAAAAGGCTGATACAGATTGATTGGCTGCCACTTCAGAATGTACCAGAGAAGAAAATAACCGGTGACTGTGGTCAGCTGATTGTCTCCCGAGTGACTTTCATTTTCGTGACACACAATGGTGTTTTGTGATGCAGAAGGACAATTTCGCTTTCCACTTGTCCTTCAAAATCATGTGTAAGTGAAAGAAGAAAGGGACGCTGAAATCAACTGAAGTCGTTCTTCCAGGCTAGATATTTTGAAATTATGGCCTTATGTCAAAAACCTCCAGTATTTTGCTGTTACTGAGGTATCAATGCACATCTGTCTGTATTTTGTTAGCAACTTTCTCAAGGACACACATTTCGCTCCCTTTTCAAAACTCAAGAGACTCAAGAGAAGTTCATTATCACCCGTGTATTCATGCTCAAGTACACAGTAAGGATAAAACGCATTTGCATTCTGGAGCCAATGGTGCTGCAATTAACTAGTGCAAAACAAGACAGTCAACATAAGGTGCATAGACAGAAACAAAAACAAGCTCATAAGAGAGCTCATAGAAAATGTCTGAATCAGACGATCGAAGGCCCTTTTTGAATCAAACCACATTCTTAGTGATGTCATCAGCCGGCCACAGACCTATTAAGTCTTTTTAAGTAACATGAAGAAAATGTGTTCTTACAGCTTAAACTACATAACAGCTGGTATTTGCTTTGTGTTTTTGCTCATCCCATTGTTTAAGTTTTTTTTTCATTCCTCTTTTCCTCTTTCGATTATTCCAGGATCCCAGAACAAAACACAAGTTTAAGATCCACACCTATGGGAGCCCCACCTTCTGTGACCATTGTGGCTCTCTGCTCTACGGCCTCATCCACCAGGGCATGAAGTGCGACTGTGAGTGATTAAATTTAATTTCTGTAACATCTCACTCAGTGTGTGAGAGAGATTTTAAAATTAGCATTTAATCAGATAAAACCATACAATTGAAAATGAAATGGTTGCCTGTGCTTGTTTTAAACAGCTGATTCATGTGTAAAAATAATATCTGTAGCATAATATTTAACGTTGAGTCTAAACTGTTGTTTATCAGTACTATAAATGGCTGTTTAGATTGTCAATCATCAGTATCAAGAGGTTAAAGTTGTGAAGGAGGAAAATTAATCCTGCACTGTTCTGTTATACAGGTCAATGAGTCGTAAGTATGGCATGCATATGAAAATAATGGTTTGCTGTAAGTGGCTCTACACACATTATGTTCTGATTTAGAGCCACTTTATCAATATCAGTGTCCTAATAAAAAAGCCTATTGTTCCTCTTCACGGAATATCACAGGTTTATGTATTTCCCCTCCTTCTTGACTTTCACTCATTAAAATCGCACATTGTCTATTTTCAGTCTGCAGCTATGTTGGCTTCACCTTGAACAGGCCTGCTATCAGAGCTTTACCCGGACTTTATTAATATCCCTCTGTCACTCCTCTTCTCTTTAATCTTATGTTAGTGGATTAAAGTCTGAATGCCTTAATGAGCTCCTAAATACATTATCCGCCACCTACTACAGACCACCAGTTATGCCTAATGAATGCTCCAGGGTATACATAAATAGAGATGTGGAGCGGCAAATTATTTTGGCAGATCAATTTCACCTCTAATCGCGGCACAATAAGATTGCACTGTAGTATTTTTAAGCACTGCTGAGCCACAGGAATGTCACTGTGAGGCACGAAAAAAAAGTAATTGTGAACATAGAGAGTAAAGTAGCAGCATGACCATGTTTCATTATTTTTCACCTTCTCACCTGGTGGCATGATGATGTAACCACTGGAAACTGTTCCCAATCCATGACAGGGTGGCTCAGCTGGCTGACACACATGCCATGCATGACATCACAGGGCTGAATCTGGGTCATAACCTTGTTATCTCCTCTCATACAGCTTTCAGAAAAGCAATCCTTAAATATTGTGCCAAACACGTATGATACATGAAATGAAATTGAAACATGTCCTTATATAGGTACAGCAAAGCTAAAAAACATTATTAAAGCAGCTTATAGTATTTGTGTTGGAACATCAGGCCATGAGAGGCTGCGTACATGCACGCATTGCTTTTATAAGAGAAGACATTTTGTTAGCATAATTCATTTTTGTTGTAACAAGAGATCATTGCTATTTCAAATTTAAAAATATGCAATAATGTACTTACGGACATATGAAACCCTTGTATAATCAGTCAATAAAGAAGTTGAGGTGTGTTTATTTGGAAATTCACAACAGCATCACTTTGTCAGTCATTTCTGAGAAAGCCCTGAGCCAGTCAGTTTGGGTTGATTTGGATCAAATGCCTTTACCTGCTTGAAGTCCTCGTCCCTGATGTCTTTTATCTCCTCTCTCTGGCCCTCCAGCTTGCGATATGAACGTCCACAAGCAGTGTGTGATGAATGTGCCCAGCCTGTGTGGAACTGATCACACCGAAAGGAGGGGGCGTCTTTTCCTCAAGTGTGAGGTCAGCGCGGACAAGCTGCAGGTCACAGGTAGGCCTCTCTGCCCCCCTTCTCTGTCAGCACACACTGAATCGAATGGGCTTAAAAATGCAAAGTGTGATGTATCTGAACTGACTGAGATGACACGCTGGGTGTGTTTGTGTGTGTGTGTGTGTGTGTGTGTGTGTGTGTGTGTGTGTGTGTGTGTGTTTGTGTCACTCCAGGTGGTTGCAGATGGTCGCTATTGTTCTGATTCAATTGAGCCTGGATCAGTTTCAACACTTTGCCCTTTCTGTCCATAAACCCTGACTGTCTAATTTCACAAACACACGCACACACACACACACACACACACACACACACACACACACACACACACACACACACACACACACACACACACACACACACACACACACACATTCGCTCTCTACCCCCTGCTGCCATTAACTTGAATTAAACCTCGCTTGCCATTAACTCTGCCTTAACTCGGCCTGCTTGTGATGCTGTGAATCCACCTGCTCACTGCATGACTGACTGGCCTTGTGACTATCAGCTATCAGTATGCTGCAAAGGCCTATTCCCTGTTGGTCCACAGATCGATAGAGCCTCTCCTGCTAAACATTCTCCTCTAACAAGCAATCCGCAGTTACGACACACTTGGAAGGCAATCCCAATCCAAATATGTATTCCTGCAGTGGTGTGTGGTCTGCTGCGTGGGCCTCGTGTTGTTACTCTTTTTAAACAGTCACGACTTGTTCTGTGTTGGCTGGATTTTCTGATGTAACTGAATTGTCTCTGCAAAGCAAATTGAAAGCTTGATATATTAATTTATGTCTCATCGGACTTACATGTATACAGGATCTGAGCGCTCGGCTTGTGAGCAGGGTCATGGCTTTATGGTCATCTTTTTTACCATTATTCATCAGAAAGCTTTTCTACACAACCTTATCATTGGCTTTTCTTGCCGTTTTAATTAGTGATTGGTTTCAAAGAAACCAGGATGTAATGAGATACTATTAATTTAACGTAATGAATGGTAATGATATTATATTCTGGAGACTATTCCAATCAGTTCAAATCTTACATTGCATTAGTTAATATCATCTGAACAACTAAAAGAGATTAAGGTGTGCAAACTACTTTTTTTTATCAGCCTCTAAAACCACAAGATTTTTCAACAAAATCTCAGTTAATCATAATAAAAGCCAAAAGATTTTTGGCCTAATAGCATATCCTTGAAATTAATTTTTTTTTTATCACTATCTACTCCTCCCACACTGTGCTGTTCATTTATGTGTTTATTGTTTATCTGTTTTGTATGCTTATTCATCATTTGCATGCCTTGGCAATGCACACTTAAGTAGTTAAGTGCATAAATCACATACTGCTTGCCAGTTTATTATTGTTGACTTTGCAGACAGTGTTGAATAATCCTCTCCGAGCAAATAATGGCTGAGCAGCTGCTGTGGTTAAGCTGAGATAATTTCATGCGTAATCTGTCAGATGTATCTGATGTGACATTCTGAGTTCCTGGTTCAAGTCTGCTGTGAGTGCAGTCTTTTTTTTTTTATTTTTTTTAACAGTTTTGAACATGAGGCCAAGACCTGTGGTCCTTCAACATGGCTGCCGCAGGAAGCTGCATCACTGGAGAGAACTCTGTTATGAATAGTAACAGGTTGCTCTAGCTTGCCTTGTGATGAAAGCAGTTATGATGCCGAAATGTAGATGTATAGATCGCAGTACACATATTGTAAGTAAAACAGCAAAGCAAAGTTTATCACTGATGCTTTGACAATAGGACAATGGGACAGAGTGGACAGAGTGGGTTTTGTCGTGTGAGTTTATTTATGGAAACATTGCGGTCCAGCAGTATATTTTGGTCCAGCAGCCCATTTTGCCTTGTATTTGGAGGCATGCTGTAAATCCCCCCAGCTGTAATGGTGCATTAGCACATATGCTAGAACAATAGTGACGGCACTGGGCTGATAGCAGGCGCACATAATCATTCAATTAGCCGGCTAACGGGGGTCAGTGCATTTCAAGACCCCAGCATTGAACTTCACTGACTTATTCACTTATGAAGTTAATGCTAGAAGGTACAGGGTGAGAAATGGGCGTTGAAGCGGTTACGCATGGATAACACAACACAAAAGTTAGGAAACAATTATTTAAGTAATGAACAGAATTATCATTATCTGTGCACTAAAGCATTCAAGTCTGCTCTCCATACTTGAGTGTAGTATTAGTATTATTAGTGTTATATCGGTGTATCTTTGTGCACAGTGACCTGATTGGATTTATACTAAGCACACTGACCATTAGCCTCAACTATATATGTAAAAAGTAAACTCAAATGTTGGGAAAGATTGTGGTTACATAAAGCACTGATTATGATTGACGATGAGTAATATCATGCAAGATCTTGCCAAAAGTCTGGTTGTCACCTTTGGCAAGTTTGCTTTTCTCAGCTAGTTCATTAACTGCATCAATGCTCATGCTCAGTTTTATTTACTGAAGAATTTGATACTTGTAATAGTTGTAAATACTGTGTTAATCCCACCTAAGCCTTTAAAATAGTTTATAAAAATGTAACATTGAGATTGTCTTTATGGTCAAGTGTTGAAATACATAAACAGTGACAACAGTTTAAACACGGTTGAGATCACTTCAGAACATACTGAACCAGTCAAATAGTGCACAAATATTTATTCAAGATTTTGGGCGGAGAACTTGCTTTTCCCCCTCTCTTACTGGACTCTCTCATGCACTATTCATCTCCCACAGGCCCCTCAGCTGCCTGAATGCACGTCCAGTTGATGCAGTCAAAACATTTTATACTGTTAAAAGATGTTAACTGTGATAACTTGAATTTCAAGGTGAAATCTTAGTAACAAAGAGTCAGAAAACATGCTGCACAACACTTGAATCAACAGGATTGGGTTTAAAGCTTGCAAAATAAACTCCAGTCAAAAGTAAAGAGTTTTTATGTTCCTTCCTCTCCCTCTTGACATTCAGTCTCATCTGGTCTCTCAACTCAAGACCTCATAATATCCTGCTTGATAAGATGGCTATATTACTGCTGACCTTTTTCACACAGTGTTTTGCTTTAGAAAACTTCCAGTTCAATTGTGCTTTAATTTGCTTCTGAAACCTGCACTACCACAGCCCGCTGTTAACTCACGTACGTACAGTATGTCTGACAATGTATGCATATTTCACACTCATATGTGCGTAAGTACACTTGTGTGTGTGTGTGTGTGTGTGTGTGTGTGTTTTAGTTTGAGTGAAAACCTGCAGACTCTTGGCCCTGGTAAATGGTAAATAGCAGCCTATTCCTGATGTGGACACAACATGCATGTTATCATTTGCATGTGTTCTCTTATTTGTGTGTGTGTGTGTTTGTGTTTGTGTTTGTGTGTGTGTGTGTGTGTGTGTGTGTGTGTGTGTGCGTAGGTGTGTGTATGAAACTGCTGTACCAGCCCGCAGCCCACTCAGGCCAGATTGCATCGCAGATCACATTAGCTGCTGTAGACGCCTTGCAGACAGCCTGCCAAACAGAATTGTGTTACATGGTCGAGGAGTTTAGAAAGAAGGTGCAGTGGATGGAAGTAGGAAACATTACAAGGGGGGGGGGGCTGAGCTAGCTGTTTATGGTCAGTAAATACCTGGAAACTGTCAGCTGGTTGCTATAAACCACAGTGTCTCGTTTTCTATGTATTCACATGTCAATCATAGTGTAAAGATTAACCGATTACTTTAGCCCCTGAGTCATTTGTAAGAATTGTGATTACTTTTTCAGTAGTTCATTATGTCTCTCATTTAACTTGTCCAACACTGAGTATGATTCTTGCACAGAAAACAAAGGTGAAGCTGTTGACACAAATCTCGAGTTCCAATTGGTCCTGCCAGAAGTTTAAAAAAATCTACTCTGAGTAACTGAAAAACATCTGCTTTAAAATATCAAAGCCTGTTCTATTTCCTCTGAGGATTGTTTTTTTTTTTTTAACTTCCACAATTCAAATAAAAAAGTAAAGTGCGTCGACATCTGCTTTGGTCTCTGAAAAGTGTTTAGTTTCTTTGTTTTTCTCAGCTGGGTATTGGCCAGTAATAGTTTCTGCACACACACACACACACACACACACACACACACACACACACACACACACACACTCACACACACACACACACACACACACACACACACACACACACACACAAATATTTTGTTTTACATATATTTTTCACAACCNCACACACACACACACACACACACACACACACACACACACACACTCAAATTTCTTGACTTACATGAATTTCACTGAAGCACATTTGGTCAGAAGCCCCAAGTCAGCTCTTCTTTCAAAAAGCCTCATTGTTTAAATTTTGTATCTGAATTTACATTTTTAATTTATCTTAATAACAACAGCAGCAACAGCATTTGGCTGTCTAAATCAAATTACCTCATTGTGTTTTGCATGGAACAAGACTTCTCCTCAGTCTCTCTCACACCTGCAAACTTTTTAATGAGAATTTTGGAAATGATTTCATACCACATGTCTCGCAAGCCAGACCGGTCTACAAGCCAAAGCAAAAGCAACTACAAAGTTATAATGTAACAAAACATATGGAAAGAGATTGAATGTCCAGAATAAGTCGAGACGGAAAGCTTGGTTGAGTGAGTGCAAAACGATGAGGGGAAGAATCCCTCAACCAACCTCACAGTGCACATATATTCAACTGTGAGTGAAGAGTGAGACCCAAAGTTAAAAGAAATGAGTCACTCAGAGACACTGAGAGAGATTTGTGCAGTTTCCAGAAGCATGAGTTGTGAGAATGTTTTTGTCAGTCAGGCTGACATGGAAATGGGAGGGGAGGTGCTGAAGAAGACAAAACAAGTTCTGTCTCTCTGGTGAAGGACAGACGTAGCCCACTAGCCTTGTCCTCCGCCTCTTATTCCTGCTTACACATAGCTTCCCTCTGTCCGTTGGTGCTGAGGAAGCCACCCTCCCTGTTTGTTTCAGCAACACTATTGTTCAATGACTCTG